TTAACCCACAGATTCGCCCACTCTGGCCGCATTTATGCCATATACAAATCAGGATAATCGATAGTGAGTCCAAATCAGCCCACTGGCAAACGCATCCCCATGTTTCAATGGGATGCGTTTGAGTTATCGACATTGGGAACGTGTACGGAGATCCGTTAATTAGGACCTAACTTCGCGCCCTCGCCCAACGTCCATCATCTATGGTTAGGTGTCACTTAATTAAGAATGACAAGTAGCGTACTACGGATCACCCTGTATTTACCGTATGTTATTTATGCTTTCTTGATGAGCTTTTCAAGCTACTCACTCGCCCCATGCTCGAATACTGCAGCATAATATACGGAAATATGAGAAAGAGTGACAGAATTTCTGTGGAGCACCTGCTTTGATCATTTACTAAACATCTGATTGTTAAAATCTGCTATGAGTTATGGAGAACGTTGAAATGTACTTCAACTCGAACCATTTTGGATTCGATGATTGAAGCACAACTTGTTGCTCCTTTTCAGCTTGTTACACAAAAGGACCTATACCGACCTGCCTACATTCAAGTTATAACACTGCTCAACTTGAGCGCTTCGCAATAAAGATTTTACACTGAATATACAGAAGGCTAGTACGAACGTCCGCTCTAATTTCTTCCTGGCCAGATATAGCTATAAATATATACACAGTCGATTCCGGTTAATCGGACCACATCGGGACCAGACCATTTTGGTCCTATTAAGCGGCTGGTCCGATTAACCGAAGTTACCCGATGTAACTAGACGGGACGTGCTATACATAACATAGGAAACTATTATTATGACCTGTATTGGCGGCATACATTTATAGCAAACACACAAAAAAGAACTGCTTTGATAACGAACTTTGTTCGCTGAAAAAGAAATTTACAGACAAATTCTTCGTAACGACCTACAAGATATTCAGCATGCGAAGTACAGTTTTATACAAAGGGATTACCGAATTCCATTCTGCGTTTGAAGACCGTATCCAGTGTGGTTTGACGCATTCTTTTAACAGACTGCATTCGCATAAAATCACCACAAACATGTAACGCAGTAATAGGACTACCTTCATTTCCTTCCTGCATGAAATAGCGGTGCAATGTTTCAATGCATTTCCTTGCATCTTGTTTTGTGACTGGCATCAACACGTTAGGGTTCTCTTCATCACTTCCATGGTCTTCTGTTGCTGTCGTGTGTTTCGCTGCTATTGAGCAACAATGGCAGCATCGCATTCTTCATTTCCATCATAGAGTTGAAGTTCGTTGTCGATTAACAAAAATTCTTCGTAATTTCCAACTTGCTTCAGCTCCACATTCTCGCCGTCATTTTCAGTTATAATCACCATATCCACATCCATCTCCGAGACGATATGCTTAAAGCCACAGTGAGAAAAACAGTTCCGAATTGTCGCACTGCTCATTTTTCGCCAACTTTCGGCCACGAATGTAACGGCTTGCAAATGTTGACATTTGCACTGATTTCCCCGGCCGTCGAGGATGAGGTCAGCGAGCCTTCCTCAATTGATTCAAGGATGTAATTCACCAACCTTCAACGATAAAAGGTCTTCAAATTTTTTATGATGCCCATGTCCATTGCCTGTATCAAAGATGTGGTGTTGGGAGGCAGAAATTCCATCTGGATCTTCTTCAAGAAATCCAAATTTGAATGTGCTGCACAATTGTCGAGAAGTAATAACACTTTTCTCGACTGGCGTTGTAGCTCTGTGTCCCAATCATTCACCCATTCTTTAAATAGTGTAGAGCTCCTCCATGCATTTCTGTTCGCACGATACACAACTGACAAACTGTCCATTCTGAGTCCCTTAAAGCAGCGAGGCTTGGCACATTTTCCTATAACCAGCAACTTCCTCTTGTCTGTTCCGGACATGTCTGAGCAGCACAAGACAGTTACGCGATCCATTGCTTTTGTGCAGCCAGAGAGAGTAACATGTTTGTAACTTAAGGAGGCGTCCGGTGTATCCCTATAGTACAACCCGGTTTCATCAGCATTATAGATGGCATCTGCTGGAAGTTTTTCAAGAAGCTCTGGTAGTTTTGTTGATTTCCATTCTTCAGCTTGAGCGCTATTGGCACTTTCTTTCTCACCACGTGCTTTCTCAAATTTTACATCATGTCTAGATTTCCATCGAGACAACCAGCCGTCCGTAGCTATAAAATCTTCGTGGCCCAGCATTTTAGCGAGTTCTTCTGTTTTGTACTTTAACATTGGGCCACTTACTCGCACGGCTCGTCCAGTAACAAAGGCAAACCAATCATTAAGGGCCTCATCGACGTCTGGATCCTTGCCTTCACGTTTCCGTTTTTGGGAAGTACCTCGTCGTCCTTCACATTGTGCTCATTCTTCTCGCAGATCTTTCTCTTGTTTTATCAGGCGCGATATTGTGGATTTTGCCAAGCAGGTAATTTCCACCAATCGACGCTGACTAGTGGTTGGTCCCTGTTCCTTGATCTGATCTAGGAAACGAATCTTCTCAGCTAACGTCAAGTCCCGTCGTGGCATTTTCTTAACATGCAACAAGACACGCACAGTTCACTGAGGTGAACTCGAGTCTGTCTCCCGCGTATTTCTATGGTTGACCTAGCCACCTGCTGTCCTATGATTTGCCGGACCTGTGTGTCCGCGATCACTTGCCGTGCTCGAGAGTAGACCCGCAATGCGGGCTCAGGGCATTCGGCTCAATGGACGTGCGGTACATCGATCGAGCGGTTAACGACATGTGAACAAGCATGTATGTCTTCGCTCCGCCTATAAGTCAGTTTCGGGCGGTTCTGAAGCCAATTAGGTAGATGTGTCTCAAGGTTGCCACAGTTCAGTTTATGCAAAGGCCAACTCGGATTACCGTAACTGAATGATACGCTTTCTTGCCCGACATATGAACTGTGGGTTTAGTCCAGACATCCAGGCGCAGAACTTGATTTTAACACCTCTGTTACATGCCACCTATCGTCTGTTCCGATTAAGCGGAATTCCGGTCCTAATAAGCGGCTAAAATTAGGCTAGCGTAATAGGATACGTTTCGGTTCTTCAGAATTTGGCCCGAATAAGCGGCTGGTCCTATTAACCGGAATCGACTATATATATATATATATATATATATATATATATATATATATATATATATATATATATATATATATATATATATATATATATATATATATATATATATATATATATATATATATATATATATATATATATATATATATATATATATATATATATATCATGTGACAATGTGGCAACAGTTAGACGCAAACTCTCCAATTACCTTGATCTAAATACCATGATCATTTATTCACATGGGAAAAATCCCTCGATGAATTATTCCAAGAGGGGCCCAGAATCATCTAAACACCAAGGTTTTCAAAAGTTAGCTTTTGTTTCAACCATCCACTGGAACGTTACTACATGGAACGCACAACCCAATATTCCACCTGTGGTTTGTCACCCATGCAAGAGCATGGATTCTTCTGTGCCGCTACAGACAGTTTCTCTCATCAGGAGAAATATACTTATTATTATTATCAAAGTCGGGAGCTGTGCAAGAGCGGGTGCCCGTAAACGGAACGTGAAGGTTACAAGCTAGTCGCGGACCCTCCCTAAGACACAGGGTAACACCAGGTGCACCGCTGCGTTGTGCACTTACTCCTTAAGCAGTGAGACCGTTGCATCCTTTGGTATTCATAAGCCACTGAATGCTTTGAGCGGGAACAGAACCAAAACCAACGCACGCAATAACCGCTTTGGTGACGCGAGCACCAGCGGTGATACGGTTAAGTTAACAGGTGAGGCAACCGACAAGTTGATTGCCCATTAACTGTACGAACAAATCCTTCTGTTCGATCCTGTAGCGGTACTGTACATGCTGATTGTGCGAGACACTCGCCGTTGTCTACGACTTTCTGCGTTACTCTTCCCAGAGTCACTTGTGCACAAACTGGTTCGGGCTCGAAGGGGACAACGGTGTTTGTGCACACTGGGTTTACACATTGTCAAATGTATGGTGGCCATGTAGAATAAACTACTTTATCTCCGGCAATCAGATGATCATATGAGTTGGACCTGCGGGCTGAAACAATCTGGGTGACAGCACTGATACTGGGCTTCCATTATACAGTATGGCTTTTTCGGTCTTATCCCATAGACGACACGGTAGCGAAGGAGAACTTGAATCCGGTTGCTGATTGTTGCATGCAGAAAGTTCGAGGTGGTTCATTAAATAACAACTGTTTATTTAGGTGGCTAGATGTCTACTGGGAAGTCCGCTACACATTTGGTTATGATAACTCCGGTGTATCATTGCTATCGTTATACGATTTTGTTTTAAGTCACCTGGTATGTCCACTTGGTATAGCATACCGTTTAACAATCAACAGTAGCATTACTTTTAGAAACAGATACGCCGAGTTTTATTCTGTTGGGGCGATCCACACAGTTTTGATGGCGAACGCGTACTGGGCCCACGGAACATTTGTCGCAATGGTGGAAACCTTCGTGTGTACGTAGGTTTTGTGCTGTTAACCCCTCACGCGCAGCATGATGACCGCTATTGTCAGATTCATGCAAACCAAATTTTATCCTCGTTGGGGTGAGCGTCCGCGCGGTATACTCAGCCCGCGTGCGGTTGATGGTGGTCGTACGGCATCGAAGCACCATTACAACTTACAGCTGACACACTAAACCGAATTTTAGTTGGCATCACCTGGCAAATATCAAGAGTTTCCATAACACATCCGTCTAAAGTGTGCAGACACATCACAGTGCCATGCAGGTTGATGTTTTTATTTCAGGCAAACTTTGAGCAGTCTCTATACACGCAACACAAGTCCACAATTTCCTCATAACGTGTCCCCATCCTGAATTATCTTATCACCTTACTATATTCACACACTTTCTTTCTCAAGACGCGTTCGCTTGTTGAAACGATTAAGTTAAAACGTATCCTCCAAGTAGTTGTAAGGCACTTACTCGTATCACTTCTGGATTCATATCGGCCAAATTTATGTCCGCGATATCGAGGTCACCGTTCAACGCCAAGTTCAGTTTGCCTGTGGAAGCCAGGTTTGGATCGGCGGAGTATGGAGCAGCGGTCTGTCCTCGGGAACGCGCAATATTTGCTATCGTATTCGGCGGACGGTATAAAAACCAGGCCTTGTTCGGAAACAAAGAGAATACAAATAGTGAATCGGGAATGGGCTTCGATATTTATGCACTCTCTGTCTTAAACCAGAAAAGAAAATGATTCTATCTACCAAACGCATAAGAGGTAACCAGCTAGAGTAGACGCGATTCATTGGTCACTTGAAGTTAAGTTACTTTGGCCCCATTGCGCTCCAAGTGACTTGTGAGAAATCGGTGTATTCAGACGCCACTGAGCCCACATGTCAAGGTGTCCGCGATGGGACCATTCCACCAGGTCGCCTCCCGCATGTCGGAATTAGTCTCCTACCATGCCGTCACAACCGATGCTAAAAATGATGGGGGAGGCTCGATTAGTGGGGGCAGAACTAATCACCTTTTCGCCACCAAGTTGCTTGGCAGCCCATGGCCCCGCAAAGAGACCATTTGCAGCTGTCTCTCGTGTACCCCGGTTCCACGACGTTTCTTCTTCGAATCCACAGCAGAATTCGTCCTACTCCACATTTATCACTCTACAAACGACGTACTTTTTTACACTAGCTTCAGCAGATTGTTTCTATAATACTAATCTTGACCGAATGGAGGTAACGAGGAGTGTATTCGTGGGAAAACTGAAGTCGCGTTACCAGGACATGATTAAGGGGAGTTTATCACAAACTAATGTTGATATTAGGCGTCGGCACTCAAAGGCAGTGAATCGTCGCCAAGGGCTTAAGCTTATTAGTAGGGCGGTTGCTCAAGTTCAGTAGAAAGCACTGTTGCATGCGACAGGCGCCGGTGAAGTCTAGCTCATTAACGTCTAGCGCATGGTGCTGTAGCACATATGGTCACGAGTGCCTGAGCCAAGTTGGTCTGGTAAGCCACCAGCGTGTCCACGCGGAGCCACCATCTAAGAGAAGACGATACAGCTGATTCGCTAAACATCATCAGCGCAACGCTTAATTTGTACGCTGCTTCAGATTTCATTTACTAACTTAGGCGGTTGATTTGGTGCATGTGTTGCATCATCGCTGCAGTTGGTCTGCACGTGCGGCTGCCGGCGTGTTGATTTTGTTGCATTTCAGGTGTTCCTTGTTGTTTGCATCAGACCAGAGGTGATTGTATCATGTTTCCTTCGCTCATTACTGTTAGTCGTCTACACATTCCCTGTTTATTTTCGGCGTTTTTCCGTGTTAAAGTTAATATCCCCTGACGTAACGTTACAGTTGCCTACGATCACAATTATACAGGGTCACGCTTAATACAGATGTTTGATTTGCTGTCTTCTATTCGGCAGCACATTTAATGTTCATTTGCGTGTTCATTTTCTTTAGTATCCAATAGTGGTTGTTTGATATCCCCGGTTTGAATGCACTTGGTATGAACGTTGTAAAGGTACCTACCAGTCGAAAAACCGCTACCTCAATTACTGGCTTTAGGAGACTGCTAATCTTTGCTGGGAAGATGGGTGCACGGTCTTGGTGACCGTATGCGTATGCCTGGTATGCATTGTCCCCCAATTATGCATAATTGCTTCTCCTCCGTGGGCCGGCTCTGTTGATGAAATGTGGCTCTTATCCACATGCTTTCCGGTCTTATTCCTTCGGGTTTACACTGGATATGGGTTGTGTGGATGGAGCTGTGAGTGGTGCAGAGCAAGCCACCCATCGTCCCTCAGTAAACGTGGGCGTAGGTGTCCTGTGGCTGTCCCCATGCAGGCCGCAGTGACAGGCAAATTCGGAACCGGATGCCCACCAACTATTTCCCGGGCAAGACCTCACATTCCATCACGTGAGTGACTGACTGATTGATCGGCAGCTAAATGTGCGCTTTGGCACGGTGGGAATGCACAACTATCAGGGCACGCAGAATATCTCAATATGCGTCACAGGACTAAAATAAGACTGTAGCCTGCCAGTTATTGCAACGGTAGCAGGTTCGCAAACGTTCGGATAACGCGCCATTAGAATGACGTGTTTGATTCTTCCGTTATCGGACTAGTGGCGCTGCACAGTTACATGGGCTAACGACGTCAACTGGTATAGACAAACGCTGACACGTTATGGTCTATCTACTTACCTCCCCGGCACGCTGACCTTAGATCCCTCTATCTCGTTGTTGTCTCACGCTATCAGTTTGCCAGATAGCGTTATCCACATCTTCGTATTAAGCCCGACCTCTTAACAGGTGGTTGTGATAACGGCACCCAACCGCCTACGGAGTATTTGTTTTTGCTTCCAACTCTACAACTCTATTCAACCCTCTTTACGCATTGAACGCAGATTAACTCAGAATCCCGAGGCGGATGCATATTATGGCAGCAGTGATGGTGTCTGATAACTACAACTATAGGTCAGACTGTGCCTCAGGTCCATTAGTTCGCTGGACAACAAACACAGCTGCTGCGGCTTGTAATGGTCCCACTATCGGAAGGTGTCGCCTAACATGGGGATGAAGTTGCGCAGCCAGTTCAGTCGGATCGGAAAAGCAATCAGAAAACCAACACAACCGATTGATCCTAGCTGGGAATGTCTGATAGTCATGTCACAAGGAAGCATGAAACGATTTTGGTGCTTAGCGACCAACACATCACCGTTGCACCACCTGATAGCTTCCCGCTGAAACTGCAGAAGGAGCTCGTCCGTTGATTATAGGGGTCATTGTGAAAGATTTGTTGTGTAAATGGGTTGCGACGCGCAATCTCAATGTGGACCGCGATTCGAATTAAACTGAGCGTTGGTATTTTTGATCACGGAAGCAGGTGAATATTGGGTGTTGTCCGCTCGAAGGGACCGCGCTCCTTTAATTCCTTTTTGTTCGTTTTGGCTCCTCTCCGAAATGTTTGCGCCGTCAGTTTGAGGCAACCAAACGCAGTGCTAAGCGTAAGATAATTTTCCGGTGATATGAAGTTTATGCCAAGCGCCTTACGAATATCGGTCCAGCGAACTTTGATGTGGGGAATTTTGGCACCTGTATCCCTCACGAACACTTGCAAATGTTTTTATTTAAGGTATTGCCTTAATAAACGGAATGACCGGTATTTACGTAAAAGTGACTACTTGTGTTGCACTCACTGCGCAATTCGAGCTCAGACTGCCCCTTCTCTTATGATCACTGAGCTCATCAGCATCGAACACGTTACATGCAGTAAGTCTTCATCTGCCACTTATCTATCAGTGGACACAAGCGTGTGCCTAACATTTCATCTGAACGTGTTATGAATGAGCACATCAAAAGCAAACATGTCAGGTTAAGCAGCCAGCCGCCTGTTGAGCACCACGTGGTCCAAATCCGGTGATTTTTCCCGTGTCAGAATGAACTCTGTTGTCTCGCAAGAACAGACCATTGTCTATGCGATGGAATAAGATCAGATTACATCCGATTTGTGTTCCCACCTCAGTTGACCTACCCCATGACCTGTGAATGCTACATACACTGCTTCGCGGCTCAGTTTACACGGAATAGTAATAATAACTATGGTGGTTAAGTACACGATTCACGCCACTTCACCAACCGCGAAGGATACCGTACTGGCGAGTGCAACGGGCGGTCAGGGAGATTCACTCTGTGCTTCCTAACATGTCCACGCTTGAGTGGGTCAAAGGGATTAACGTTCGTCACCAGAAAATTGAGGCCGTGGTTTCGCAAAAGCACCTGAATGACTGACGAACTTTGTATGTTAACATTTGAAACACAGTGAACAAGTGAACGTCGATTTTCGCTTGAGACCGGGTCTCTGAAGGTCAAACGTCACTCAGATCCAAGAAAATCAGGCACCACCCAGAATATGTGATCGATCAGATTGCATCGGCCCTAAAAATTCTATCATTAACAAGGATGGAGCAACCGAAAGCCAGTCTACTACATCTGCCATTCAAGGGTCTGCTCGAGTTCAATTCTCCCGGGAATTCCGCCATCTATGCAGAGATCGCTGCAAATGTCACCTGACATGCCACACTTGTGGTCTCGTCTGTTTCAAACACTGGTAACGCGAAGAGAGAGACAAACAGCAGACTGTTACCACCTGACACAATGCCAGGACTAACGATCACCCGACTTTACAGCTGTACAAAAATGGGATCCAACAATAATTGCCTGACTGCTGTGTGCACAAATGCTAACGAATCTGCCGCCGTCGTATTGAGGGGTAAGTTATCTGACCACCAAGACCTGTGGAAGTAATTGTGCATTTTGATGAGCGTCAATCCAAACCCACAAACCTAGTACGAGTTACCCGTGACACTATAATAAATCGGGACTTATTAGGGTTAAGTTATAATCCGCCACTAATGTAGCAAACGTTTTACATTCTGGAAGTGTGCTGTAACAAGGATCTTGTGAGATACGCATTTATACTGATGCCCCCTTGAGCAAGCGACAAATGAAAGACACATCTCGGAATAACACAACAAACAGTATTGCCTAAACACTATTTTCATTCATGGCGTGCCACAGCTTCCTTCACAGGACAGTCAAGAGGCCGGAAATCACGATTCGGGACAGTGGCGGTTCATTTAAGAAAAACTTCTGGGATGAGGTCGTTGCACTATCGCTCAGAAGGCTGTCTCTTCACAAAATAATAGAGAATGCAGCCCAAAAATCCTAAAACTCGTGGTTCACTCAGAGCAAACAGCGACGGAAGTGTTAGAACCTTGGCGAAGAAATCGGAAATGCCCTCCATCTGAACTTCGATTAAAATCTGCCGGAGCCTAGCAAAGACCATACATAAACTTAACTGAAAAGCAAATCTACCGGGAATGACACAGGAACTTCACTTTACATCTCGTTCGCGCGATTCCGCAGTAGGTGCGGTGTAGAAATGGGACGTACTTTAGACAAATCAAGCTGCGGACGATGTATCATTATCCCATTGAAAAACGTATAACGACCGACTTCACATTGGTCGGTATACTCCAACACCTAACTCATTTAGCCCCATATGGGCTCCTAGAAACCGAGAAACTAGCCTGAATTTATACTAATGCTCAAGGCCTTTTCAATAAACTGGCCGAACTGAAAGATCGTCACGTTTC